TCACACAGGTGAGCTCAGATGAGTTGATAAGCTTTAGCTTATGAACTAAACATACAAGACAAAACAAATTTTAGACCCAGGTAATATTATTACTGAAACTGGTTTACAAGCCGTAGATTTTAAATTAATAATTTTTTGAATTCTGGATTTATTTAAAAAAAAAATTATTGGAATCTTAATGAATTATGGACGACCAAAAAGTGAGGCCTGATTAAATATATCGCAAAGAAGCCGAGTGTGCAGAAGTGCATATGAATCCTAATAACTATTCATATGTATATGATGCTACGATGGACAGAGCCTAATGAATGTAATATATTTTTATTATAAACAATAACAAGTATCAGTAGCACGATTAGATGCTATATTTTTATGCAAGATTTAAACATAGGCAGTTTATTTTTTCTAAGTTTTCATGATACAGTTTACCTTTTGAAAAGTTATTGCATAGCACAGACGAACTGACATTGAGATAATAAAACAGGTTAGCCTCTGTATGTAGGCCACCTTCAGGAAACTAAAGCGTGTACAAAAGATGAAGCTTATTGGCAGTGACACTTAACACACTTGACTGAAGAGGTTTCAGTAATAAGCCGAAAAATATACAGTACTCGTCTTATCTTCTGTTTTATTATCTTCATGTGGGTTTATTTGTTACAGTTAATAGTCTTTATTATTCGTGTCATTATAATTATTGCATAATATACTAAAGGGTAAATGTAACTGGAATTTGTAGTTGTAGCTTGCAACTCATTAATTCATTTAAATGAATTTATATAGCATACGCATCTCAATACAATATTATATTTTTTATAGAATTAGTTTTGTTGGTAGCAAGAATGTAAATGCTAGACTAAATTAGCTTCCGGTACTTGTTAGGGTTATGTGCGCATGGATACTGTGGGAATTAACTAAGGATCTTAATGGGTATATTCATGCAAGAGGATGCAGTCTTCTTTCTTACTTTTGGAGGTGGAGGTGGAGGAGGCAGTGGTGGTGGTTTGGATATGGTCACCTTCTGTAAATAACACACGAAATCAGTACACTCAGGACGAACTCTAAGATTATTCTTGATCCCGAGGAACAGCCCGAGACTGAGGCAACAGATACACATGCGTAGAAATGGAAACTGCAGTCCAGGATAACTCTTAACAGTTATGAGAGGAATATCGAAGAGGATATATTCTGGCGATAAATATGGAAGCGGGAGAGAGGAAAAACATTAAAAAAAATTACGTGCAAACCTTCTGTGTTTGAGATCACAAGGCGGTACAATCATGAGAAATTGTGAAATGTAGAAAATGCATTAGTTTTCGAAAATCTAACCTAGTTTATTGTACGTAAATTTTCGTGCTGGGAATTTAATGGCATTCATCTCCGGGAGACAGAATACACTATATGATATGGACGGGAAGGAAGCATTCGGCACTAATGTGAAGCATGGCCTTTGTCGAATGTGGGGTAAACATAGAATCAGTCCACAAGAGTAACATTGCAGGGTGAACTTCTGGGATGAGGGAACTGCAAGACACTAGCAAAGACAAAGACATACCAAGTTTATCGCTGTCTCCCACCATGGTGTAACGTGCCTTGCCTGTAGACCACCATATGGTTTAACATATTAGATATAAAATGCTGAAATGGCGTTATTAGCACGAAGTTAGAAAAAATACATTTCACATATATTTACAGTAACCAATTTCTTAAATAATGAATTAAAAAAGTTTACGAGATGCGGATATAGGGCGTGATCTCACCTGTCTTACTCTGGACAGCCTGATGGGTGCAGGGTCGGCCCTCTGAGTAATGTACAACATTTATTAAAAAAATGATAGGCCTACATAGTCTTCCCCTAATAAGTTGTAGCTGACAGGCCTACATAGTCTTCCGCTAATAATTATGAAATAATTTTAGTTATTAATAGTGGTGTTAAAATTAGATTTAGCCTAAATGCTTTAAGACAAGAAAAGATAAAAACTAATTTAGAAGTAATGTTTAGTGCAGCATCAGTCTATGAAAAGTTATGAAAGGTTACTTTCAACAAAATGTTTTATAATATGTTTAGGTAAGTTACTAATGAAGAATAAAAACTGTAGGCAAAATTTTCTTGATATTCCAAACAAGAAAACTAGGGTATGTGACATGAGGTAATAAAAAGGCATTTACATACTAGAAAATATACAAAATAAAAAAAAAAAAAACAGATGCTTATTATGTTTTAAGGGAATAGTACTACAAATGGCATATATAGGCCGAAAGTAAATATATTAAAAAGGAATTAACAGGACGAATATTTCTTAGAAAGACACGGAGAGATGGAAACCTACAAAGAGATATTACGACGAATACTCCATGGTAAATACAGTGATTAAGGATAACATAAGGCTCTGTCATACAAAGAAGGGAAACACGGAATATGGTGTATAAGGTTGGGCTATACTCCCGTACCGTGTCCCACTTCTTCCACCACTCCTCGTTCGACGAGCTCTTGCCCTGAAAATCAACAATTAAGCGCTATTTTACTACAGAAAAAACTCGAACACCATAAACGTCTACAGCCAATTAGTATTACCATCACTCAGAAATTTCGACCATTATAAATATACAAAGAACAAGTTTTATCTCTATCATTGTTTAAGTCTAGACTCTTGCCAAATTCCAGGTATGAACCTGTGGGGCAAGAGGGGAGTTCCTAACTACTAAAACTTGAAATTCCAAGATTTCATTGTGAATATACAATACTCAAAGATATGTTGTATATTCAAACTTAATATACAACTTAGTTAAAATGGTATTGTCGTACGCCTTACCATGTGGTCGATAACATCTTTCTTGAAAACTGGGGAACCAGGACTCCATGCCTGTTAACCAAGAAAATAATAACCATAGAGAGAACACTGTTAAGTAAAGGAAATAGTGAGAAAAGTATTAAGTAATTAGCAATTACAATACACGAATCAATATAAAAAAAGGAAAATAATCCATAGGTTAAATATATTTAGCAATGTTGATTACTAAAACAGAGGAGTAAATAATATTTCGTAAAAAATAAGCATGAGCAACAAAACAATAAAAGGATATTATGGAGGGTTATTGTATTATGGATCTAAATCTGCTTCATTATGTAGGATGGAACTGGGAAGAGGTATTGAAAAATTAATACGAATAGAATGAGAAGGCTAAGAAATATTCTTTTTGTGCTATTGCGACAGGGAAGTGTGAAGTGAGAGTTAAATGTAGTAAGACGGTGTAAGGCAGTGAAAAAGACGATGTGTAAGGTAGTTAGGGAATGACAAGAGCAAGAAAAGTCTCACCCTAGATTCTTCAGGTTGTTCCCACCACGGCAGGGGACTTTTGCTGGTCTGCATGAAGGAAGTAACACATGATTGGTATTGCATATTGTTACTTTAGTGATTCTAGTGATACTGCTTTGTGACTGTCTTGTAAAATTGTGTGGACATATTAATTGTTTTCAGTTGATAAAAGAATAAACTGTTCTAAGGTCCGTGGCATTATTATATATTTATATATATATATATATATATATATATTATATATATATATATATATATATATATATATATATATATATATATTATATATATATATATATATATATATATAGTAAATAAATGATATATGCATTGTGCTTACTTTCAACACCGTTTGCAGTTCTTGTATGGCTATAGAATGGAATTATACTGTATTTACGTATGTGAACATATTTCATTTATCACTCTGGCAGCAGAATTTGCGTTAATTTTTTCCCCTCGTCCTAGTCCTTGTCTGTCAGATATCTATGAGAAAATTTTCGTAGGTGAAACATCTAGAGAACTCTAAAAACACATCTCAAATCATAAATATGCCAGCAGACTGGACAACAGTAATAACGCTTGCATAATGCACCGTAATTCCCACAACTACCTGATGAACTGGAATGGCGTATCAGTTGTTGCCAAAGACAATGACACCTAAAACTGAAGAGTTTTTGAATTCGTACTCATTAGTATCATACCGTTTCAACAAGAATAATAGTTTCTGCAACTTAGCTGAATTGAAACTACTCTAATTCCTTGCATCATCTGAATGCCTTCCATCCCTCCCCAAGCACTGTGACTCCTTCGGGTTTAACGCTCCCCATGAATGTAATAATAATAACTCATCTGTTGATGTTTGTATTTGAATGCATAAATGTATTATGCCACTGTTTACCACACTTCAGGGGTTCGCTTAGTTTTTCTGTGATGTATGTCATGTTAAAATAACATGTAAAGCAAGTAATATAATTATTATATATCTAAAACAAAATAAAATATGCGTTCACAGAAGTAAAAGCCATTACATTGCAAAATAAATGTATGTGATAATTTATTTTGTGAAAAGTGCAAAATTAAATTATCTTCAATGCAAAGCTTAAAAAAAGTAACCATAATGGCAAAAGCAAGACAAATAATTATAGTATATTTAAAACTTATTCAAATACATTAACATAAGAAAACAATATAACTTGTTAATTATGTTGAGCACTAGACAGCCACACAGGTGTTACAAGCCATAACATTAAATAACAGTGTCTTGCAATAAATCAACAAAATAAATTTTTAGAGAAGCATACCAAAACACGAACTACAGAAATGTTAAAATAATACGCTGTGCAAGGGATGAAGGATGGTGGTTCGAGGGTATCCGAATGTACTTAGGATTATCACATGTGCCCAACAATTTAAATCGTGAGGTAAATGGATCACCACATTACTTAAAAGTTAAAATCAAAGAGTAAATCGTGGGACGTTAGTAAGTCTCATAGCAGCACGAGGTGAAAACAAGTACATATCACTTTATAAGCTATAAGAGTCGATCTGTTGTTTGTGAATAAACAAGAGCTTGAAGATCTGAATTGTAAGCATCAGCAGAAGAAAAACAAAACAAAATATCAGGCGGTAAAGTTGACTGCACACAGCACGAGGGAAATCTTACCGTGGTTTCCTCAGACTTCTCCCACCACGGTATGACTGGCTGAGGGAGCTTGATCACCTGTTTTCCAGGAAGCAGTACATATATGACTTCATATAAAATATATTTTAAAGTGCCTTCAAGTCCATTTAGTGAAGTTTCTGTAGCAATGTTTTCCTATTTTTGTCTCCTAGTGTTGGATGACACTTAAAACATGTACGGATATTTTTCGATCTGCTATGTATTTGGTTAGTGGAAGTCTTTAGATTGAATCCTTATATAATACGCTGGCGCTGAAAAATATTCATATAAACTCATGTCATCGTGAAATAACTTCAAGTGAAGATGATGTTATACAAAAACGAAAACTTTAGATGAAGGTGAATCTTTATGTGAATGTGACATTCTTATGTGAACGGAACGGGCCACATGTGAACGTGTTATCTGATGTGATCATTGCATGAGATAGACTTGTGGAAGTGAACGTTTCAACTAGAGACTATTATGCTAATACAGTGAGTTGCCCGTCTAGAGTTACTTATGAGTAACGTTGGTATATATGCACTTAGCGTTAATCTTATGTTAAAAGCAGGAGGTTTTGTATTTTTTAATGAGAAACATTTTGCTTTAGCTTTACAATAATTTCGTTTAATTAGCATGTGTTGCAACTATAAGATACTGTCTCACTGAGTAATAATATGGCAGTCACCATTGCAAAGAATGAAGCAACATAAAACAGTGAGCTCAGATATACCGAAATAAATATGGTACAGTACTTGCATTAGAATTAGAAAAGATGTACAATTTATTTAAGTATTGAACTATCTAAAATTCTAACACAGTTAATTAAAAAAATAAATGATTAAGAATTATGATATGAAATGTTACAGAAAGTAAATGATAATTAAAAGGCAATAAATAGGAAAACTCAAAAGGGAGATTTAGGAAAATGTGGTGAATTGCAAGTAGTTAGGCAGCACTGGTTGTAATCTAGTCTAGTGTTATATCACTAGTATATAATGTATATATTTTAACCTGTCTTTTTTACTTTAATAAACTGCTTGATGTCTAGGACTGTACACATGTAACAGTCGATGAGGCAAATCTGACAGCATTAGCTGATCTGAATCTTAAGTGTAGCCTGTGTAAGAGCTAGGGAAAAGGACCTGAAAAATAGCATTGTAATTGGTAACGTGGTTTCAAGAGAGAGCAACAGAGTAGAGGTGGAATGAATTATTGAGAATTTAGGCTTATAATGAGTCTCACCCTGGTGTCTTCAGCAGGCTCAGGTTGTTCCCACCACGGCAAAGGACTGCTCGAACCCTGCACAGTAAGGGGGAGGAAGAGAAACAGCTCTCACTAATTGTTAATTCACATGTAAAATTTGGCTGCGACTTTTTGTTGTGAATGGCATGTGGTAATGCTTTGTAAATTTCCATGTAGGGTTTTTGCTTGTGACAGCATTGACAGACTTAAAGGTATATAATTAAACTTAACGCTGAATCTCGACTGAGGCAGGAGTACTTAGTAAAAGCTAAATAGTAAGTAACAGCTGGATCTAATCCGATTTTTTAAAAATTGTTGTTTTAATACCTGTGTGCCTTCGTGGTGCAGGGGTAAAGGTATGTAAAACCAGAATGCAAACTCTTCCTGCACTAAAGAGGATACAAATTATTTTTAACAAGGGTCCCGAGTGATAAGAGAACAAGTTGAACGTAGTTTGTAGGTCATGAGGATCCTTCTACAACCCTTTTGGGATCCTAGGGACCTAAGTGTGAATCCCACAAGTACTCTTAATTACATAAATTGTTCTCACGTTAATGCTAGGTTTGAAGTCAGGATTAAGGTGAAAGCAAATGTTATTCAGTGGTTCTAATTAATTTTATAAAGTCGATATTACTATGGCTGTGTATCATGTTATGGACTATAGCCATCCTATGCCTCTTCTAGATTTTCTAGACGCCTTTTGTTATTACGACCCTTAACATGAAGCCTATCTTCGGCTTTGTAATCTTCCGAACGTGTGACTACGTGTACCTTGGGTACATCCTCACCTCACAATGACCTGGCCTGATTTTAGACTTTTTTCCTATATCTTTTCCACCCTTAACCACTGACCAGTAGGTACTGCTGCCGTCACCAGCCAACAGGGGCAACTGTTACCTCATTTTCACATGTGCTCTAAGACTCACAGTTTTGCCGCAGATTCTTCACCACTGGTGTCCCGTGGCCTGGTGGCTAAAGCTCTCGCTTCACATGGTGATGTCCACGTTCGATTCCCGACGAGGGTGGAAATATTGGGCGTGTTTCCTGACACTGGTTGTCTATGCTCACCCATCAGTATAAAATGGGTACCTTGGTGTTAGTCGACAGGTGTGGGTCGCATCCAAGGACAAAACTGACCTAATTTGCCCGAAATGCCGTGCATAACGAAGCGGCTTCCTTTGTAATAGTATGTCAGCTAGGCCTGTATACCTTGTACTTGTTGAAATAAAGGGTGATTTTTTTACCTGATAAATAAACCGCCGAAAACTTAATAATGGTTCAGGACGAACCGAAATATCATTTACCTTTTATATCCAATTTATCGATTAATATTCAAAAATTTCGACACTAGTCAGTGATACATGTCAACTAAGTGGGAGGCAACATAAAAAATGATAATTACATTACATTTCGGTCTTAATCTGAGGCTGTCATCAGAATTCAGAGGTTGTGGCGTGTAGGAATGATACACGGATTTTAACAAAGGGATTCTATATAAAGTAAAAGGACACAAGTGCAACTAATGTGACATTTTATTGTGGCAACGTTTCGCTCTCCAGGAGCTTTGTCAAGTCCTGGAGAACGAAACGTTGCCACAATAAAATGTCACATTAGCTGCACTTGTGTCCTTTTACTTTACATATTGTCGGTAATTCTACCAACATTATTACAAAGGGATTCTAACAACAGTTATGGTGTTTAGTGTGTTCAGTTTGTAAGTGCTTAAATTAGAGTTATTGCAGCTTTTGTATTGAATAAAATGCAGGTTATATAAAATTTTAAAATCAAAATAATTATGGAAAATATTTGGAAAGTTATATGCAAGGCTCATTAATGTAAAATTTCTAGTGTGAAGCAATTTAAATATTATAATAATAAATCAACAGTCTACAATTAGCGAAATAATAGTAATCAAAATTTAAATAAGCAAGAATAGCAGAAGCGAAATTTATTTAAAAAATATGAACTTGAAAATAAAAAGATGGCAAAGCATTGCAAAACTATAAAAAAACATCGTTAGAGAACAAAGGAAGATAAGAAAATATAAGATAAAAACAGGACGGGATATAGTCACAGATAAATAATGAAACGTTAGCTAAAGGCGAAAGTAATTTTAGGAAGTTACCACTTAACACACTGAGGAAAGAAACTGACAAAGACCGAGAGTAAATACACACTAATAATGAGAGAAAACACGATTAAGAAAGGAATTTGAAACTACGAATATAAACCAGAAGAGAGAGAGAGAGAGAGAGAGCACTTTAAGAAAACATCAAGGAGGAAGGAACTCTTAGTGAAATAAGCCAAGAGAGAAGCACCTGAGAACGCGGCTCATCGCTGGCTGGCTCTTCCCACCACATGAGACCAGAGTCACTCTGTAAGGTGATCAAAGCAACTCAGAACATCATAAAATACATTCCTGCAAAGTTTAATATTATTATATATATTCCAGTGTTAGTGACTTTTGAAGACACTTGGAGATATAAAAGTTATATCATCATTATACTGTGCACCACAGAGCAGAATGATCAGTTTATCTTCATGGGTCTGGGAATGTGGGTGTTAGAAACGTTACATTATATAATACATAGAGGAAACACCTTGCTTTGAGAGTCTGCAGCAGGTCGGTCCCACCACATAACCGTCTCCTGAAAATAATGTAACTTTCATTAAATATCGCAAATTACGTAAAAATACACATTTTTTTTTTAACCATGTAGTTGTTTTGCCTGGGATCTTTATCAATATTTCTTTATTAATAACGAATTTAAATAATGCAAGTAAATATTCCGCTGTATTATTTTTGTACAGTAAATCGATAAGTTGTTTGCTGCCCAAGACGAAGGTACGTTTACCACTGGCTGCTACTTCTTCACATTTACCACGTAATTTAAATGACAGCAGTACGATCACAGATCTAGATGAATATGTGAGGAGAAACAAGTTGCTTCCAGCAGCTCAATAAAATAAATTAGTAAATACAATCACCCAATCAACAGAAGCAGCAAAACAAATTTACAAAATAATTAAAAAACAAATAATATGCTGATATAATTAAAGTGTGTATAATAAATAAAACAAAAAAAATAGAGCTAGACTAATATTATTAAACTCTGACCTATGAATAAAATGTGTACTCAAATTTCAAATAATAACTGTGTTCAAGGTGAAACGAATAATCAAACATTTACAATAAATATGCACTTAGACTATATCACATTTTAGTAGTCACAAATTAATTATATTATTTCGTTAGCACAATATAAAGTTTTTAATCCATGCGAAGATATTTTGTTAGTCTTGTGTTGGGAAGGCACTAAACCTTTCAAATTGTCAAGAGACTTTTGTTATGTTCAGTGCGTCATCCTCAAGGGAGATGATAAGGTTTTAGAAGTAGTTTTGGAATAGTCACTTGCAGTAAGGAATCACGAGAGTAGAGTTCAGCTTGATTGTTAAGACATGTGGATGGAAGAGCTGTGAGGGAGTCAACGATGTGTATTGGGATATATGCAGTGGGCACAAGGGTTAAGAGAAGGTACAGCATAGTTGATGGCCCATGTAGTGCACTGGAAGAGTTCGGGGTTGGTCAGGGGATGATGAAGTGGGTAGCGGAGACTGGAATTGTGGGATGATAATGGCTTATTTGTGCTATGTAGAAGGTAGGAGGCTTGCGGGAGGGTCAGTGGTTGTGTTATAAACAGAGAGAAGGGTGAGGACCGAGCCATCATGGGTACCGGTAACTCTGTGATCTGGTCAGCCTTCTCAGCTTCGTCGTCCTCCTCGTTGCCATCGTCCTCGTTCTCGTCAGCGTTGTCTTCGATATCTGATTCATAAATCTGGAAATTTTAAGCGTAATTGCGACTTCCAGATAGGTTTAATTGCTTTAAGAGGGATTTATATCAACACTTGTTTAAGAAGTGATCCAAGTCATTACAGTTTTCCATGCGAGTGTAAGAACATGCCTGAACAAATATTCCAAAAGTTCGAAACAAAGATTGAACATTTGTAGGATTGGTAAATGCGTCATGACTCCTTAGATCACGCTTGAAGAAGAAAACATGCTGGATGATGGGTAACTGGTATTATTGACCAACAAGGTATATCTTGAGATCTTTGGTTGCTCATAGGATAGGCATGCCAGGTGGATTCCTGAGGGAAAACTAAAATGGATGCATGTACAGACTACATGTTTGCTTGGGTTTCACTCTCAAGACAAACTAGTTTTTGCTATTTTTTTACATTCCAATTTTTATAAACGACCAGAGGATAGTAGATTAATTGATATGACTTGCTGGGGATAGGTGTAACTGAGACACTAAAGTTTTTGGAATACGACTGAAAATGGGAATTCCATGCTTGGGTAGAAATAAATCCACTAGACAAATCTTAACTGAGGGTTTCTTAGGGCATGTTCGCCAATGAGACACATGTCTATGGGCCTTACCAAAACAAATTCAAGACTCACACAAGCTGCAGTTTTGTCACAGTGATCTTACCATAGGAGCATACTGGTTACAGTCATTATTTAGATTTACTTCTAGGGCCTTGGACTCGAAGTTGGGATAATTGCTATACTTGTTCAGCTGTGTTTCTGGATCGCATGACAGAATATCTAGAGTGCACGTCTCCTGAAGACAAGAAACATCTGTAGCCTCCTTGGATTGTGGCGTCGTAACCTCTACAGTCTCCTTGGATTGGAGCGTTGTAACCTCTACAACTTCCTTGGGTTGTGGCACCGTGACCTCTACAGTGTCCTTGGATTGTGGCACCGTGACCTCTACAGTGTCCTTGGATTGTGGCACCGCAACTTTTACGACCTTCTCGGGTTGTGGCACCGTAACTACATCTTGCAGGTGCTGTGAAGTTTGCTGCTCTCCTATACACAAGTCTAACTGCAAGTCTTGTGGCAGGTGATCGAGGCTGCTGCAACATTGCTCGTTACTCTGAGTGTCGAAGCTATTTACAATATCATCCACTTGTTCTGCGAAGGTGACGATAGAATTTTCAGTCTTTCCAGACTGATTTTCAGCGTTTGGAAATCCAGCATCTAACAATTCTTGAACGAATGGCGACTTCAATGGTGAAATGCTTGTTAGTTGTTCAGGGGATTTTTCGGATAGTTCAGGAGAAATATTAACATCAGTTTCTTGCGGTTTAGAAGCCTCAGCGGGTGAAGCTAATATCTGAGGCTCGACAGATTTTTCCACAAAGGGAGGAAAGGCAGTACTGAGCAGCTCTTGTAGCTTGGACCTGGGGGCAGGGACTGGGGGCTGGGGCTTGCTGGCTGCTTCACTTTTAGGGAATTCTGAGTCCAGGCGAGTCTGAAGCCTCGATGTATGAGGCTGCAAGAAATCCTGGTTGTTAATAAAGAGTTTTGATATCTATCTGTGTAGCAAAAAATACTGTGTACCTTGATGCAGGGTACGCAGATTCGAAATCCTGTGCACTGATAATATATATATATAATATATATATATTATATATATATATATATATATATATATATATATATTATATATATATATATATATATATTATATTGTGTGTGTGTGTGTGTGTGTGTGTGTGTGTGTGAACATTCGTGTAAGTTACTGTCTATCAAAGGCACTTTTCGTTATATAAACAGTTGACCTGTTTGTGTGCTCTGTTACCACGTTTGTATATGTATTATGTATGTGTGTTTAATTGCAAGTTGAAATAGTAATTAGGCAAATAAAAATCAACAAATGAAAGCACAAAAAAGTTACTATCACTTTCATGCGAAGAGGTTGTTCAGAAAATTAAGTAGAACAAGAAACATGATTCAACGTTAACAACACGGCGTAATATAGTAGTCGCTTTCACAATTTTTAGAAACATGCATAAACTGAGAGTAGTCTGAGTTTCACAATCCTTTGCAATATATGTAGCGTAATTGTGAGAAGCGTGGCTTTCGGGTGAACGCAGGTTAAGTAAATTTGACGCCGATGAGGATCTCTTATGCTGAGTGCTGCCAAGGGCGAAGTAAAAGTCGATTTTTATATGTAAGCTGCCAATAATTAATTTGATCCGGAGAATCTTAAAGTTAATGCAATTTTCACCAATGTAATATTTTTGAAACACCGTGCGAGACGGATTTATTGTCCAGGTGTTGAAAGTTCTCAAAAATGTTGTTATAATAAGATTTTAGATATAAATTTTGTCTTCTGGATAATTACCTGACATAAATGATAACATGGCGTCATTCGCTCACGACATAAATTACTGTTATTCAACGAAGAGGGAAAGTGCGACTTATTAACTAATACAGTATTGAAAAATATTTGCCATTTCATTACTGATAAAAGAGCATAAAGAGCTCTCTAGGAGATGTGAGTTCTTTATTCTAGTCTATGTATTAATAAGAAAGCCAAATAAAATATCCACATGAAATGAAGAAAAAAATTAGTGAAAATGAATCATAAAATATTTAAAAGATGCCTAAGAAGATGAGAGTATTTAATATTAGGTTGCAGGAACCCCAGAGACCACCTCAACACTGAAAGATAAATGCTAGTAATTAAAAGGTGGGTGTATTACTTTCTGCCTTAAACCTCGTTAACTCATCTCTTTTTTCCCGCCATTGTCTCTTTCCGTTCACACTTCAACACTATCTTCTCTTTTCCTGCACTTTTTGTCTTTCTTACTGCCACAGCCAGTACATAACCTGCACAACCATCACTACGTCCTAAAGTAGCACTGTACCACCACTATAACCAACACTGTACCTCCACCACAACCATAATACTGTATCGCCAAAACCACCTCAATACCGCTAATCCAGCACTGTATCACCACAACACCACCGCACTCACTATTATAACCAGCACTTTACCACCACAGCCACCATCACAATCATCAGTGTATCACCACAACACTAGTACACAGTTACTTTCCCCGTGGAAGTACTCACCGGAGTGTTTGCTCTGGGGATGGTCTTCCCTGTAGTTACTGGTACCTCTTCCTCCTCCTGCAAGAGATTCACAGTTATCTTCAAAATTGGCTTTTTACTTGTCAGGAATGTACAGTGGATTCCAAAATTAGACATCCATAACACAACTTTACGTTGTGCTTCCCATTAAAAGCGCCCTACTTTATTAAAGTTAAATATTCATTATACATAATGCGTACTACAATTACAGGCGATTATACTGAATCTATAGTTTTAGGCACTTATTTTAGAGTATTCAACTAAGCTAGATGTTGCTATGCCTCAAAATTTCACGTTAAGACAATTTAAATAGAATTGATTAAGCACAACTTTCTTGGCTTAGGGTGGCCAACTCTGTATTGTCCTTGGTCAGTACAGACTATGACTGATCGAAAACGAGAAGGCTCTGGAAAACTCTGGGTTGAGAAAGCTTAACAGAATGGTGACCTGTATATTGTCTCTCACCAGCTTCAGATACGAAGAGCATCTTACCTGATCCTCAGCATCCATGCTGAACACTTCAGAGATCTCCTCCTGAGGAACCTGCAGGAACGAAGACGTGCTAGTACAAGCAAGTAACAAATGCCATAAATAAGGATACTGGATCAACTGATCAAGTTTAGAAGCTGGTGGATCTGGGAGAAATTAGTTTTCTTTTATTTTTATATATCTTACGCTTTTCCTCCATTGGAGGTAATAAAGATATCTAGATGAACTGAATTAAGTAATTAGGCACCAAGTTCCGGTAGCTAGAAGTAATTAGCAGCACTTAGGTATATACAAACTACATGTAATTATATTTATAATTTTATATAAAAATTAGGAGAACAATTGATCACAGATCCATCACTCCCAGCAAGTTATTTGCGGATACTGCGCTTCCCTCATCCCCAAAAATGTGTAAGTTATGACTTGTGAAAGTTTTGTTATTCATGAGTGAACACCCCAACTGAGTTGTTAATTAGCATATTAATAAATTAATTGGCATATTTAGAACAAAATGAAGAGAAAAGCATTCGGCCGCAATTCCTGCGATAGGAAGGCGCAATTGAAGGTATTGCAGCCACCAAATCAACAAACCATTTCAGATACCTAGGCTTACTGATTGAGTTAACAAACCGATGGGTAAAAATCTCCGTGTTTGTTTAGATGACTGGATTGCTTGTTAGCACCCATCGTATTAACCCAGGCATCTGCCATACTAACTCTGTCACTTGACACAATAACCCAGCCATTAGACACTCATGTAAACCCACGTATGTGGCAAACTAACCCATTCAGCCAGACACCCATCATACAAACCCAGTCATCTGATATACTAACCCAGACGTTTAGCATTAATTCTCGTTTAGAGAATCATTTAAGAAGCAAATTTAAATAATATTTAAACAGATAATGTACGAGTGAACTATCAGAAACGTGAAAGTCAATTCAAACAATGGACAACGATCAGCTTCCAGATTTGCGGAAGGAAAACTTTTATAGCAGTCAAAAATTAACTTCCATAATGATGAGAAATAATCAGTTACAAGGATCAAAGATCACCTACCATACAGGGGTCACCTACCATATAGGCACAGACAAGTACCTAAAAGCAAGTTGCTTCAAGAGTCAAAGAGTGAAAGGTCAAAGTTTAGCGGTCAAAAGTAGTTGAAAGTTGCCTGACTCGATTATCATTCAGCTTACTACAGGTGACTTAAGGCGAACTTAAGTTACAAAAATTCCTAGTAACTCAGTTCATAATTTATAAGCGATTTACTCGTTTATGAAAAAATGGATCCATTTCCATTTATATCCCTAAAACAGCTCAATTCCTCATAAGTAAAGCGAGTCATTCCCTAATATTTATACTAAAAGCAATAATTTCCTTGTATAAAAAATCTAATCACTCTTACATTTTACTTCACGCCTATGAACCAATAAAGAAGATGAGGGGATGAGTACTGAAGCAGTGTTGTTACGAAGCTGGTCAGCGTGACGCCTTGAGTATAGCTTGAAGGACGTCGCCGGATTGCTGGAGTCAAGCTGGTCTGGGTATAGAAGTGCCAGCCATTTCACTGAGCTGTGAGTTAGACCACTAAGCAACAGTGTGTTATTACCAGAGTCAATTCGCCATGGAAATCTGCCCATCTTTCTACGGTATTAGCAGCGAATGAAAACTTAAAGGAAAATGCACATAAAAAAAAAAGATTATGTGAGATAAAATTGTGTGAGCGCCTTGAGCATAAGCTTCAGTGGTGGAGCAAGATGACCACTTACAGACTCCTCATCGTCTGACTCTTCATCTTCTTCATCATCTTCTTCAGACTCTTCTTCTCTGATTCTTCTTCCTCCTCCTCTTCTTCCTCAGACCCTTCGTCTGATTCTTCTTCCTCATCTTTCTTCTCAATTATTTTCACCCCAGCCTTGGGAGTACTTGGTATCTACAAGAAATTAGAGGAACTATATGCTTTGAATATCAAACTGAATACACTGTTGTTGAACACCGATTCCTTTTGCCAGTATTTCACTGCTTGCACAACGTTCATCTATTAACAGAAACAGGCTTGTTTAGGCCTGTGGGACATGAGGCGAGGAAAATTATTTTCCTCGATCTTTGTGTGTTTATATTACCTTAATACTCACTATTTATTACCTTAATACTCACTATTTAGATTTCAAGTCGACTGTTTATTCCTTAAGGACAATTTCATCCTTTAAAAACACTGTTATCATTGAGGTCAACTCTGCACGTCTTTTTATCAACTGTGTCGATGCCGTATGAAGAGACTGGCCGTACTTTAACTGACATCATCTGTAGTCTCTCATTAGGAATGTATCGTATGTTCCACTGGGGGGGGGCAGGTTTGGTAGTTAAGCAAAATAAACTTTTAAAGTTTAGTCGTAAGGGATAACTGACTGCAGACAGCTGTACCGAATATAAGTGATTAGAGAACACAAATCTATTCGTTTATAGTAGGAAAATAACATTCTTTTAACTTAAATTTATCTAAATAATAGGATTTACACGAATAATATAACTGCACGTTTCCGTGAAGACAAACAGAAATTTCAACTATATTCCTAATTTGTAAATGCCTCTATTTATAATAAGCAACTCACAAGGTCAAGACATTAGTTCGTCACCTGTGTTACCACAAACACTATCTAGTGCACAAAAACGTACTCGCTCTAAGGTGTAAGCTACGGTCCAGGGAGTGTTGTTACGTTAATCTTCAGAGTCCACGTGAAATTTGAGCTTCCTCTCTTAAGAGTTTAAATCTAAATATAGTATAAAAAGTAGCTCCGGGATATACGGACACCAATGGATTTGAAGAGGTCGCTGACTTCTGAAATGACACTGTGGCTAGTGATATCTGAAATGCTGAAAAGTTCATCAAGTTCTTTGGTTAGATTTGTCAAATCTAGTAAAACTTCAACATGTGCTAAATAAGTTTATCAAACGAAGTAAAGATCACTGATAGACTTGGGCAAAGATGACATCGGGAGTGACTGAAACAAAAGGATTTATCAAGGGCTCCAGACTATTAAGGGTCAACCGGAACTGTTTTGGGCTCGCCTGAAAGAAACTGTTGTGCCACAGGCGAAGGAGTTATCTGGAATGGGAAGTGATCTGAGGCGGTGTGATAAAGAGTAGGTTTAAACAGGACAAACAGCTGGAACACGTCAAGTTACTCTGGAAAACGAGGCACACATTTAGGTTAACATGGGCTTCAGTTTTGTATGGCCGCGACGACGCGGACTCTGGAATACCAGGAATGACCCGAAGCGGCCCTGAATGAGAGACTGCATTATTGCTATTATTGTTTTTAGGGCATTTATAGAAAAGTGTTAAGACCCGTAGGGGTCTTTCTGCGTTCTGGGGAATGGGAAGGTAACTCTCAATTCCAAGTATAAAAAGTTATTCACCGGCATGAGTCACCTCCCTTCAGGGGACGGCAGGGTGGAAATAAGGCAGGCAAAGACTGAGAGGAGTGCAGAACAAGGCTGCAACATATGGTGTGCATGACATGGCTGCAACACAGCGTGCATGACGTGGCTTCAGCACACAGCGTGCATGATGTGGCCGCAACACACAGCGTCCATGACTTGGCTTCAACACACAGCGTGCATGATGTGGCTGCAACACACAGTGTGCCTGACGTGGCTGCAACGCACAGCGTGCATGACGTGGCTGCAACACAGTGCATAACGTGGCTTCAATACAGTGTGCATGATGTGGCTGCAACGCACAGCGTGCATGACGTGGCTGCAACACACAGCGTGCATGACGTGGCTGTAACACACATCGTGCATGACGTGGATGCAGCACGACGTGGTGAGAAGTTCATCAGGAACACGTCCATGGGGCTCATTGATGTCGGTGAAGTGGCTCATGATTCAAGGAATTGTAGTTATCCTCTCTTTCCTTGGATCATATCTGATCGCCTTCCATTTTCCAGACGTTATACGACCTCTATGGATTTAACTCTTCCCCGTGAATGAAATAAAGTAAGTAAATGCGGATGCCAAGGGTTGCCATCACCCACGTCGATGTCCACAGACTCGAATTTAAAACACGAGGCTGAGGTGGACTGGGACATAACATATTCTGGTGGAGGGAAAGTGAGGTCACTACGAGGAGGGAGGGTGGAGCCACAGGGCGAAGCGAGGGTGTAGTCAATAGAGGGAGAGTGGTGTCACAGGATGGAGAACTTACCCAGTGCTCCTGTGGTGTGCCCCACTGTTCCTCAACCATCGGAGATGATGACTATGGAGGGAAAATATGGAAAACATAAACATGTATCACATAGCGTTAAGATTAATATATTTATTGGCATGTTACTAAATCTTTAGAGCAAAATGAGACTGTAAGGGAAGTACTGATAAGTGGATACATAAGAAATTATATTTGTTATACAGAGAGATATGGTTGTTTCCATAGTCTACCCTGAAACAAGAAGGATAAGATTTGCTTCGCTAACTAGACAATATGCCTGCTCCAGATCTCAAAACCTGTGTTAGAGTTATTCACATAGTATCCTACGTATGCGCACCTAATACAAGTGTGTGTGGGCATGTTAATAGTGAGTACTGACCCTAGAGGCGCCATCGTTCTGCAGATTTGCCACAGCCAGGTCAGCAGGTGTGGTCGCCCTCTCCATGAGTAAGTTATTCTGCTCCTCCTGTGAGGTAAGGAGCAGCAGGGAGTGATAAGACCTTGTCATCCACATGCAGAATAGGGGTGAGGGGCCTGATACTTAATATAGCTTGGATTAAGAAACAACAGGCAACCTAGATGAGCCTTAACACATATTAATATTTGTTGTTAGAGTGATAAGTAAACATACTCTTGGTACAATGTCAAAAGAGAAGATGTGAAATGGAAAAAAAAAAATACACTGAAAAAGTTATAAATAAGAGATCAGTGTGAAAACTAAAGCCAAAATATTCAGCTGAACATTTATGTATATATAGAGTATATATATTATAACGCTATCTGCATTAAAAGCTAAAGCCTCTAGTATCAGTGGTTAGAACATACCTTACGTGGATCGTCTTTGTTTGGTGTCGCCGGCTTGTTCGTGTACTGCAAGACGAAGTAAATTAAGATTTAATAATTATAATGACAGTTTAGTATATTTCATCGCATTCTTGGAAATACTATACAGTATTTCTTGCTGCTTTGAAACACCTGTTTATTAATAGTTAACAAAAGACATAAAAATTCTATAAAGCTCCCTGAGTTTGTATAGCAGAGGTTAGGTCTGCCAGGCGACGGAATTACAGGTATTAAGGTAAATGACTGGTGCAGTGATAGCCACTAAGGCATGGAGTTACTGTCGCTACACAAGACTACTTGAACAATAAATCGCAATACTGTGGCTGTAGCTATTCACACGAAACCCACAAGTTTGTAATGAAACTTGAACGACGTTTCAGCTCATCCATGACCATATCAACTTGATAAGGATACAGATTAGACCGAACGTCGTCCAGTTTTCCATAAAATAATTATGGGTTAGTCGGAATTACATGAACTCCTGATTAAACTTCAGTAGTTATACTGCCATAACAAAGCTTCATACTCATACCCCAAGAACTTTATTTATTACACAAGAATATTTTATTTTATATTGAGAACCTAATCACTATAAATATATTAATATCTCAGCTGATCAGTGTTTTACTCAGTAGCGGCTGCTAGTAAGACTATGTTGACTAGTGGAGAGCAGAAGGTAGAAGAGTCCCCGACACATGTCAACCTCACTACCATTAGTAATTCACGGAACAACGTTCAAATGAACTAGTTAAGACACCTCAGTCAGTCTGTTATTCTTAGTGTTGAATCGTTATTGTTGCTGTTATTACCAGTTTCATATTAATGTTATTAAAATTATTTAGAGCATTTGTTTAAAGATAACAAAAATATAAAAAAGCGGATAAACCAAATGTCGGAGTAATCGAAAACTTAAAGAGTCATAAAACGTTAGTGTTTGTTCCATCCTGAACAAGTTATTGAGCGTACTACAGTGTTTCTCGCGTGGCGTTATATAACATGTTGTCAGGAAGCGTTAGCTGGCACACTCAGACGATACATACTCGAGTAGTGGCCTCTTGTCTCTGATCCTTTTGCTTATCTTGTTTATCTAATGCTCGGATTCTGGCTTTGTCTGCCCATTCTGGTTCTTCCTTTTTCTTAGCGTTGTCATCCCTTTCTTTCATGTCAGTTGGGTGTAGCTTTAATTTGGCGTTTTCTATTTGCTGCTTGAGCGGGTCGATTTTGCCAGAACCCTGTCCAGGCTCTGTCTTGAGTTCTATGATCTGTTTCTCATTCGGGGCAATTCGCACGCGTTTAACTGGTTTCTCCTCGTTTTGAGTTTTCTGCTTGGGTTGTGCATCGTCCTTTGACTCAGGCTTTCCAGCCTCCGGCTTCGTTGTCTCTTCTTTTTCCTGTTTGGGTTTCAGAGTTAGACTCTGCCTCCTCTGCTTCTGTTCGCTCTCACCCTGGATTTTTGATTCCCACTTGTTTCGCAGATCGTTCAATTTCAGTTTATCGGTCGATGGATCTTCATCGTCTCTAGGTACCACCTTGGGTGTCGTGTCAGACTGTTTCCTCGACCTGAGCTGGACGCCAAAGACGCTTGCTCGGTCTTGTGGAGAGTCTTCAGCCTCAGTGCTTGTCTTCCTCCCCTCTTCACTCTTCTTCCTGAGCACTTCCTCCCGTTTCTCTTGTTGCTTTCGTAATTCCTCCGTTTCTCTAAGCTGCTGCTTTTTCCGGAGTTCCTCCTCTCTATCTTTCTTTCGTAATTCTTCTTTTTCTTTCTCTTGCTGTTTCTTTCGTAATTCTTCTTTTTCTTTTTCTTGTTGTTTCTTTCGTAATTCTTCTTTTTCTTTCTCTTGTTTCTTTCGTAATTCTTCTTTTTCTTTCTCTTGTTGTTTCTTTCGTAATTCTTCCTTCTCCTTTTCTTGCTGTTTCTTTCGTAATTCTTCCCTCTCTTTTTCTTGCTGTTTCTTCCGTAGTTCCTCCCTTTCTTTCTCTTGCTGTTTCTTCCGTAATTCCTCTCGCTCTTTCTCTTGCTGTCTCTTTCTCAACTCTTCCTTTTCTCTCTCTTGCTGTCGCTTTCGTATCTCTTTGTCTCTCTCTTCCTGTCTCCTTCGCATTTCTTCCTCTTTCTCTTGCTGTTTCTTTCGCAATTCCTCTCTCTCTCGTTCTTGTTGCCTTTTTCGCAATTCCTCTTTCTCTCTTTCTTGTTGTCTCTTTCGTAATTCTTCTTTTTCCTTTTCTTCCGCTCTCTTTCGTAGTTCCTCTCTCTCCTTCTCTTGTCTAATTCTCATTTCCTCTTTTTCTTTAGCTTGCTGTCTCCTTCGTATCTCCTCTTTTTCTCTTTCTTGTCGCAATCTCAATTCCCTTTCTCTCTCTTCTTGTTTCCTTTGCAATTCCTCTTTCTCCCGCTCTTCCCGCCTCTTTCGTAATTCTTCCCTTTCTTTTTCCTGCCGTTTCTTTAGCATCTCCTCTTCCCTTTCCTTCTCTTGCCTCTTTCGACAATCATCCTTCTCAGTTTCTCTTTCTCTTTCTTGCCTTCTAAGCTCATCTCTTTTATTCCGCAGTTCCTCTCTCTTTTCCTTTTCTAGTCGATTTTGCATTTGCACTTTCTTGAGTCTCTCTTGCATATCCTCATTCACCTGCCTTAGAAATGGGGACTCCTCCTTACTCGCCTTCTTCTGGGGAGGCTGCTCTGGCCTCTTCCTTTCAGCCTCTTGTCTCATTTCCCGTGTGTTACTCTTATCACTCACGCCTTTTTCCTCCATGTTTGGGATTTCCAGTTTAATGAGTCTCTCTCGTCCGAGTTTCTTCCCTGCTGCGTTTCTCGGGTCTCCGTCACTGGGTCTACCGAGGTTATCGTTTCTGATGAGAGGTTCGTTGTTGCGTAGGCCATCTTCCTTGGAAAGTTTCCTAAACGCCGCTTGTGTTGGTTGGTTAGCTTGTTGGTAGGTCACAGGCGGGGTAGGAGGGCACTGTTGGGGGGGGGAGTGGTTACGCCTTATAAATAGAAAATTCAACTAATATATCAAACACACACTATCGGCTTCTGAGCGCCCTGAACACACCTACATATTTTTTTTATTGCATTTTTATTACACAATGGTACTTGCTCTTTTAGTTTCACAGGAAAAATGAAATACTGTTTTTCCTTAGCTTTCGTGTATATTTAAAAAAAACATTCTGAAGAGTTGTCCTTTAGAATGTTTTGAAACATAGGGAAACTTGGGAAAAACTTTGTTTTTGTTTGCCTTGAGTTTACGTGAATAAGATAATGAAGAGTGTTGCCTATCTAGAGACTCAATGTCTCGTTAAGTTAACCCCTTAATAAATGTGTATCTGCCCTATGCCTTTATACACCTGACATTTGAGAACTCAGAGTACTCAGCAAGTAACGATTTAATGACATCTTTCACAAGTTAGATGTAACAGTGATAAAATGGTTGTTGCAAGTCTCATTGCACTTACACAGAGGTACGATCTGAGGCAGGTGAGAGGTGCACCTGTACGTAAATGCTCTTAAATGTGGAGGTGGATAGTCAGTGTGATATAACAAAACACCTCATTGTTAACATCTGAAATCGTGCGTAGTAGCCACAGTTTACATCGACTAAATGAATGGTTTTTATAGAGACCAACACAGTTATGAGATTGTATTCCTTATTGTAGTAGTGTGTACACCTATATGAAGTAATTGAAAAAAAATATGAAATAACTAAAATTTCTTTCTAATGATGTAACAATGCTCGTTGATCTGACAAAGGCCCTTTGTGTCCTCTGTAAACTTATTATTTACCCTACCGCCACAGGATGAGCAAGGGGTGCACAATACACTAGCCGCTCAGGCGATACAACTATCTGACACAGCTACGAGTTTTGAAAATATGTGACAACTTTTTATTAACGGTACATATTCTGAATTCTATTTTGACATCACCCAATTACTACCTATAGTGCCATAATTATTTCCTTGTGGTAAGACTTGTTTCCAATCAGTGCTCTTTTATGACTGTTGCTTACATTGGCACACTCTTGATGCTGTTGAAGGGTTTTTGATCCGAGTAGGTAGAGCTATCCTTCCTCAGATCTAGTCTTATAACTTCCCATTTCCCGGCGTTATATGATCCTTCACAATTTTAGAGCCTCCTCATGTACATATTAATAATCACCAATGAAAACAAATAAAGAAGACAATGTGATCGGTATAAACAAATATACGATTAAATAACAATAACATGCTTATCTTCCCACTTGTTTACAGTTTCGTCTAGTTTGTAGTTACAGCTAAAAATATAATCACCATACTAGACTCTAGTAACTAGACGTATTAACCTAGATAATTATCACATTGTGGAAAATAACACTTAGGTACTGTTGAGGACATTTATTAGAGGAACATTTCGCTACGAGTACCTTCTTCAGTCCTTCATTAGGACTGAAGAAGCAATTCGTAGCGAAACGTTATTAAATGTCCTGAAGAGTACATCAGTGTCATTTTCCACATCTTGTCGATATAACCATATTATTTACAATCAGTTATCACAATGTACACAGAGCACATACAACAGTGAATGTTTCTCTATCATTTACTTTGTTTACATTGTTCCTCTGTTATATATAAGGTTATTTATGGGGTGGCGGAGGGGAAGCCTATACAACCAATAGGCTTCCTCTCTTGACATGATGTTATTTTAGTTACAAACGTTTATTCATTATTTTTTTAACATTAGTTTACGATTATTAGCATATTTTACAAATTAGATAAACATAGAGGGCACAGCCTGGATACAGTTCATCTCAACCAAAGCACAGCATCAGTGACTAAACAATAAGGTCAAGTTTATTCAGTAATATTTTCTCCGATGCTTATTTCTCAGTAGCAAAAAGAGCACTGTAGTACCAATTCGGGTTTAGCGCTTGATTTTGTATACTACTACTAATAAAATACTGCTACTACTAATGTTGATCATAAAATATTACTACTAACAATAATATGTTATAACCATTGGAGTAATTAAATGTTATTAATTTTATTAGTACGTATTTTCCAACACTGTATGTACAAAAACTATTTAAAAAAGAATCATTATTTCCTTATGAAAATATTATTATAATGATTTACATAATTTTTTAAGTGTATTTTACGTCGTTGACTGAGGTAGTGGTGGGAGCCAGTCTTCAAGGTTAGGGCAGTAGAAATATATTTGGGTATATACATTAAGATGTGTATATCAGTGTTTACTGAGATATACACACCTTGGCATCATAGTAAAAGAGACATGTTATTAGTCACCTTAATTCACTTAACGATGTCTGCAAAATCGTTTTACAATTATTTTCAGTATACGATTTTTTTTATAACAATCGCTTCCGAAATTCAGCAATAATATAAAAATATCGTTCTGACCTTCATCATTCATAGTAAGTACATGCTTCCATTTAAGTATCATTAATTTACATAAAGTAAGAAACCGCTTAGGTAGAGAATTGAAACACAAAAAGATGTTTCGTCCTCAGAGATCCTCTAAACTGGGGTCGAAATATACATTTTCCTGTTTCAATCGTCTGCCTAAGTAGTTTCTCATTTTGTGTTTGTGGCAACGTCTGTTTCTGTTAAAAGTAGTAGCTACTCTTAAGATTAAAGCTGAAAGGACTTTTACAGAAATATGTAGGATTTTTTTTTTTGTATGTTTTCCATGATGTCCTCTGATAACATTTCTGATTATGATATTACAGTTAGATCTCTCGTATTTAAATGAAATTTACATCATTGATAGGTTATTTTAAGGTTGAATTAACATAATTGTAATTACAAAAACTGCAAACCAGTGAACGCGTAAGTGAATATGTTTTAATATTGATGGAAAACTTCTAATTAAATAAATAAACGCAATTTTGTATGTACATTGATATAAAAGTCTCAGTGAATATATATATAAATACCTATAGATGTATATACTGTACACAGATTAACGTCTTCGTGCTTATTTACTGGGAGGCAAACATGTCTCGGTGTATGGATCCTGTCGACACGTCTCCTGACACAGGTCTTTGCATATAGCCCGTACCTAGTTCAACATTCACTGCTAGATTTTACACTTCATTAAAAAACAGAGGATCACTACCTAGTAGTGTCCTTAAAGGGTAGATATCGAGGTTAGGGTTGTTAATTAGGTGTAATGCCTATCGGCTACACAAAGGGTTATCAAGGCTCCATTTAACCTATTTACCTCCGGTCCAGGATACTTAAATTCTTAAAACATATACAAAAGTCAACTGTATATATATATATATATATTATATATATATATATATATATATATATATATATATATATATATATATATAAAATATATATATATATATATATACATATAATATATAATACACAGATACGATAAACCAAGAGAAAAAAAATATATAAACGATAGAATGATTACTGTTGTTTGCCATCTGTCAGGTGTATGTGGTTAAATATGAAAGAACATACCATTTTATATATATGCTATACACATTAATTTATGTATATTATATAAATAAATTTATACATTTTTATATCAACAACGCCTCCACCAGAGGCAGGGTAAACCAAAGAAAAAACATGTCAAAAGATGAAATATTACCTGTTTTCTCCTCATTCATTACACTTTCCACCTCAACCACACCCTAATGACACGATTTTTGAGTGGATCCCATAATAATAACATCGTTTAGACATTTAACAATACCGTACAATAAAAAAAAGAATATCTCCAAAAAGAAAATATCCCATCCCCTTCACCCCTCAAGTGCACGGTTTTAGAGATGCCCATATCACAGGAAATCAAGTCGGGTTAAAAAATAAAATAACGAAAAAATTTTCCCAGAATTCCCCATTCCACTAATTATATTACCCTCCTCACAAACTCCAACAGATCGTCAGGTCCCAATACCATTTGTCTCCATTCACTCCTATCTAACACGTTCACGCCACGCTTGCTGGAAGTCCAAACCCCTCGCCCACAACACCTCCTTTACCCCCTCCCTCCAACCTTTTCGAGGACGACCCCTGCCCCGCCTTCCTTCCCCTACAGATTTATACGCTCTCCATGTCATTCTACTTTGATCCATTCTCTCTAAATGACCAAACCACCTCAACAAACCCTCTTCAGCCCTCTGACTAATACTTTTATTAACTCCACACCTTTTCCTAATTTCCACACTCCGAATTTTCTGCATAATATTTACACCACACATTTCCCTTAGAGAGGACATCTCCACTGCCTCCAACCGCCTCCTCGCTGCAGCATTTACAACCCATGCTTCACACCCATATAAGAGTGTTGGTACTACTATACTTTCATACATTCCCTTCTTTGCCTCCATAGATAACAGTTTTTGCCTCCACATATACCTCAATGCACCAATATGTAAAACTAAAAAGATCACTCAAACCCCCATGTGTGTATTTGTCCCTCTAACTAGGGTGTAATATGGATAATGACTTTTTCGTGTTTAATAGGCTGCTCTAAAACCAACTTTTTTTTTCAATAGTTCTTCGTCCAGTAATATCCCTGAATATGTTAATGGAGAGTGAAGTTTGTTTAGGGAAGGGTTCATCACTCATAAATTTGAGATGTAAATGACTCCGTCGCTGGACCATAATCAAGTCACGAGTCAGTGGTCCATAACAACAGATGAAATCTTGAAGCTACGGTATTGTAATTTAGTTTTGTTTAATGAAGGTAAGCGGTACTGTTACCTTGTGATGGTTGGAGGCGACGTTGTCGTGGTGGTGGTCTAGCTTCTGTTTTGAGTCAATGTGTTAGTAAAACAAGCAGAGGTTACCACAAGCATCAGTCGTAATACAAGTAGCAGCTACCACAAGCAACACGGGTAATATAAGCAGATGCTTCCACAAACATCAGTAAGACAAGCACAAGCTACCACAAGTATCACTAGTAATATAAGCAGAAACTACCACAAGCGTCATGGGTAATACAAGCAGAAACTACCACAAACATCACTAGTAATACAAGCAGAAATTACCACAAGCAGTACTAACAGCTTCATCTTCAAGCAGTAGTATCACACATTATTATTCATTCCACTTAGAGAAGCTTTGTTTTTAGAAAATTTGATTAAGTTTCTAAGTTTTTCAGTACTGTTTATTATTATTTTTGGAAATTTTGCATATATTTAATTTTTTGATAATTTATATTTTTAAGCAATTATTTACGAAATAAAATTTTCTTAAACATTGATAGGCTACATATTCTATATTTATTATCAGTGTCATTGTTTACTTAAGGTTTATCATCCCTTCATGATTATAATATTAATATTATTATTGTTCTTATTGTTATTATTACTAAGCAGTAGGACCACATAGTTGTTTCTTGCAAATATACACTGAACTACTTCTTGATGTACTTACTGTTTGTTCTCGAGCTTTGATTGCTTTCACTAAAGAGAAAGAAGAATCATACGTGTACCTTATCATGTATGTATCATATACTGCCTCACTGGTTTCCGTGCGTAATAAGAGAAAGTGGATGATTTTGGAATTAATATCTGGTTGTTGTTTTTGAAGGGGAAGAATGAGCCTAGTGTTGGTAGTGCAGCATCATGGAGTTGGTGGGACAATACCAACAGTAATAAACATATACATTAACCTACCGGCAGCGTAGTTTCCATGGTTCTTGTTAACATCATGACCCACAAACGGTTTTGATTTTGCAGTTATTTTTTTTTTAATTTTGGATTTCTCACAGGTGAGTTTTTTTTTTATCTAATAGATAATTCAAAAAAGGCCAGACAAGAAATTCTTTATAATTTACCTACCGTTTCTTTATACCACTGGCTTACACTGTCTTTAACACTGACTAATCAGTGGGCGCATAGATTGGACACATTTATACAATGTGTATATGACTCCAAGACACTAAATTAGAATTGTTTACCAGTTTTTTGACATTTCTGAAATATTGATAATCTTTTAAGCCTTGCGTACCATATTACGTAATAAAAATGCACTTTTTGGTGAAATTACAAAAAGTTAGGGTGGCAGGTGAAGTTAAATACTCAGACTGGGTAAGGAGAAATCCAAATAGTTTTTGTCGAAGCCTTTTTTTTTATCTACTTCTCTATGGCTTTGGGTCCCTACAATTTCTCTAGAAGTGGATCCCGATAATCCTATAAAAATTAAGAAAATTGACACTAAGTCACTTTTTTTTGGAATGTCCTGTACAGCTGAGAGCATCCTGCATTTCGCCTGGCATTATAGAATATGTGTAGTGAGTATGCTGAAGATTACACAAATAACCCGCACATAAAAGAGAGAAGCTTACGACGACGTTTCGGTCCGACTTGGACCATTGACAAAGTCACATTGACTTTGTCAATGGTCCAAGTCGGACCGAAACGTCGTCGTAAGCTTCTCTCTTTTATGTGCGGGTTATTTGTGTATCGTTCCAGTCACGGTATTGTGCCTTTTTGTTATTTATGTTGAAGATTCATTCACTTATCGTCGCTTCAATACCATTTAAAGGAGATGCCGCATCTTTATACCTCCTTCCGAGACAATGGCCAATGTTTCCTCTGAGTATAATATTTAAAATGTCCAGCACTCCCTTTATTTTTATTTGTTAGTAGAGATAGGAAAGATATAGGGGATATTGTTTACAGGATTAAGCCTTACAATACAATTGCTACTCTACTGAAATATGTTTGGATATAGGACGAGTGTTATTAGGAGAATATATTTTGATCGATCGAACGGCGCTCAGAATTTTTAAATATTGTGTAACTATAATACTCCAAGATTAACTTTTCCATAAATTTTAAGGAAAAAATGCCTAGTGTCATGTGTGCAAATATTTCGTGCCAGGGACAGGGAAAGAGTGTATGTGATACACCACGGTAGAGGTCGCTAGCACAGCACTAGCAGCCCAGCTAACCAACTTAACTTCACTAACCATTCTACTTTCATTTACGTAATATTATATTTGGGTTGTAAGTTTCAAGTCAACCCCTAAAGGCATTCTCAATATATCGCACAAAAACAAGGTATAGTAAACACGGTATTTCGTTTACAACGGGAATAACCAATAGCTAATATTAATTGTATTAAACATTATAAGCAGCTACAACAAAATCTACAAAGGCTGAGATGTTATAATTTAATTAGGAAAGAGAATAAGAATGCCCTTGTATGTGCTATTAGAAGAGGTCATTAGATACTCACAAGTGTAGAAGTGTGAAGGGGCTGGTGAGTTGGCCCAGGGCTTTCCTTCTGTAAAGTGAGGTTAATTTAAATAATCTGAGGTCATCTCAGGTTATCAGAGGCCGTCATACAGGTCATGATATGAAAAGAAGGCAAATTGATTAGTGAAATTCGAAATACGTAACAGGAAAAGGTTCTAGTGATTTAGTTCGTATAAGAAACATATTTAATGAAGCTGATGTGTCAAGAGAGGTTTCTGAGTATTGTAATAAAGCTGTTACAGAACGTGAAAAATAAAGACAACACATAGAAAATAAATTTCACCATTACATATAAACAAAAGTTGCCAATTAATTTATAAATATTATTGATAATCAACTAAATTAAAAGAGACTTACTTGTTTGGTTGGTATCGATAGTGCATGTGTGAGGCTGATCATGCAAAGCGTTGAAAATTCAATTTGTCAATGCTTGTCATGATTAGGTACCATTCGCACTAAAAGATTGCTACTAATATAAGAAAAATATGCTATGGATAGTTCATTACTGCACATGCGCAATGTAGAAAGGGTAAGCATGATACAAATAACTCCAAAGTTATCCTCCATCTTAGCTGGTGGTGATGGTTCGGCAAGAATGGCCAAAAACCTCAACACACCGCATGGGAAACTGCTGCCCATGAAGGAATAGGGAAAAATGTCAAGCTGTCGCAAACACGTAAAATAGACAAAGCAGCCTGCAAAACAATGGCAAAGAGTGCATTAATGTCCATCAATAGTAGTGTAATATTTGCGTAATGTATGGGTCATGAAAGCCACAAACATCCCAGAGGAGCATATGAGAAAACCAGATAAGAATACGTCAGTCAAAGTATATGCAGAGGCACTATATCTGTAAAGACAACAGTTATCGTGCAAAATTGTCCGCCACGATAAGAATAAAAAAAAATTTAAATGGTAAAAATGCGGTGAATCAGTATAAGCGAAAGAACTGGATGGGCAAAGAGAGCTTAGAGGTGATCCAGCAAGGTAAGGTTGACCATAAACCACACCACAGACCACATACACTTGGCCTGGCCACATCGCATAGGGTTCATCAAGCTATGGGGGAGAGTACACAAGAGGCTGTAGTCATCGGCAAGGCTGAAATCAGGAGCGCAAGAATTAATGTGGGGCCGTAGCTTACCCTAGATTGACTGTCTTTCCGCCAAGGGGCTGGGCTCTCATTCTGAAAGGCAACAGCGTTCTTCAGATTTTTATGTAATACACTGAATTCACGTTTTTATAAATGTAAAGACGTTGATGCAAGCAAAAGTGTAATAAAACATTGGTCAGTGGCACAAACAAAACCACATTAAAAAAAAACACAAGGTTAGATGAATACTGTATATTTGGGCCTACCATGAAGCTCTCTTCAGCAGTCTGCAGTGTATATATATTATTAAGTTTTGCTCTCAGGATTTTCGGTTCGTTTATGCCAAAGACGGTGATGTTTGTTATATTACCAAATGAGGTTGCGTGTATAAGACAGCGCCAAATAACTAGAGTGCAATGTTATACACCCCCGTGGACCTTTTGTTATTGTAGTAAGTGGTTGTAAATGTTAAGTTAAATAATAAGTGCAGTATTAAGTATCATGCAGGTTATGGGTTTAGTCACTATTTGCTGTCAGAATCAGTAAGCATCTGTAAACTCATTTGCTAATGTGTCCAATATTTATATGCAAGTATATCTTTTATGATGTTCTCATAATACTTGTAAATGCGAATTTGACTGCAATACCAAGAGTCTCTTATAGCATTTTCGATTTATGAATTTTGACTTTCAGAAAAAGGATTACGAACTTATACTAAGCTTAGGAACCCCGTGAATACAACATACATTATGTGTGATCAAGAACATCAAAGAAGCGTATAGCAAAAAGTTAAATTTTGAGTGAGCTGAAGAGGCTACATCAGAAATAGGCGTTAATTAAAGCCGCGCTAGTCCCATGCTCTCACTATCAATGTATGACCTAAAACTAATGCTAAAGGGTATGTCACCTATCTCATATGTGACACTAGTATGCTGGAAGTGTAATTTTTCTTCTTGATTATTAATCAGCATCTCAGTCATGCTTCTCAGTATAGTTGTCACTGATGCGGACTTGGAAGAGGACAGGTTAAGCCTCTTTGTATCTGCGTGTAAAGCTACACGCATTTTAGCTTGTTTCATTCCGTGCCAGTACACCCAGCAGCTTCCTTTCATTCACAGTATTAACAAATAATTCTCTCTTATCTATACTACCTCTACGCAAGTTTAAGCAACCCAACTTCAAAACTTTTTAGCAATTTACATTCAGAAAAAAGGTAACTAACTCATTTTCCAGGTATTTTAGTAGCTTTCTACTCAAGGCTACTGGTGAAGCAGGTGAACCCATTTTTCTGGGAAGTAGGAGAGGAAACATTACAATATTAAGAACTGCTAAGAAACACAACTAAAATTAAAGCTAATTATATACTGAATGTAAGTAGTATTATACAAGATTTACCTGCCATTTTACAAGTTTATGAGATAGACAGGAAACCACAATAATCCTGCCAGAGTACAAAACATTTAACCTGCTTCTGTTTCTCCATCGCATGATAGGACAGTAGGACCTACATGAATGGTTGCTGTTTTTAGTTTGGATGAAGTAAATATTGCTACAAGCAGTCATCAGATGTGCACTACCAATGGGTGTTTACGAAGGAACAACAGGTGTGTAACACAGTCACCAAGTGGATACTATGACTACCTGGAACTGACATTTCTTCGAATCTCAGTATGTTTCTGGCCATGAATGGTACCTCTCTTATATATTTTCTCGTTTACAGTATCCTCTTGGGAAAATGCATCTGTAATTATATCAGTAAACTTGGTTTCTTTCATGGCAATGAGGTCAGTATTATCTTTTTTACTTATTTAATTCCTGGGTATTTTTTCTATGTGTACATTTCTTTGCTAGCCTTTATCATATTTTAGGGCTGAATAACTTATGTGGGTAATGGCGGTTATGGGATGATAGGGATTGTAAGTGTTGATGAGACTTGTGGGGGGTGATTGGGCTTGTGGGTGTAGTGTTTATTGGACGTGTGGTGTAGGTTGGGGGATATACTTGGGTTTAAGAGTATAGTGATTTTTGGGAGTGTGGTTTTTGGGGATGTGATGAGTGGTTAAGTGTGTAGAGTAGTTTGTTAAAGAAAAGTTGATAGAGTCTGTGTTTAGGATTTGAGAGTGTTCTCTAGTAGAATAAATGGAGAGCAACTTGCGAGTTAATGGTAGATGACAGGACATATACTGTGGGTGAATGATTTTGGAGACGTTTGTGACTGGGCGTGATTTGATTGGGGGGTATTCTGAGGGTTGAAGGGATGTCACTTATATTTGACTGAATTGGTGGTTAACTGTTAGAAAAGTAAAGTTTTTGTAAAATGTGAAAATGCTTGATGAGTAGACGTAGAGGATAACGTGGAAGATAAGTAAGGAATGTGAAATGCTCTTCATATCCATACACAACCTTTCAAGCTGGGACAACGACGGTGTCAGGGCAATGATTCGAATCTGACTATTCTATTAGCAACAGCAAAGCATTAACGTGAGATCCAACGCTAAATGTCTTATCCTACTTCATGTTGGAGTGCAACAAAGGAACCAATGCATATCTGCCAGCATGTTAAATAAATAAGCAGCAGCTTTTGGGAGCAATCAACCTCATCTTCCAGCAAGTTAACCTGCAATGTCTTCTTACTCCTCAGGTAGGAAAGGATGGTGCCAGCAACTTACCTTGAGGCTGTCCTTCCTGATGTTATCTGAAGGATTCTGTGCAAGGAAAGAGATCGATGTTAAGTAGATTAGGTTACATAGTAACTCACGAGTTAAATAATGGAGTTAGGAGAATAGAACCTGAAGTATTGAGTTTATCAACAGGAGTGGGGAGAGTACACCACATACCTAAGAAAGCGGGGACCTCAGTACTCATCACACCTGCTGTGCTAACGCGAACCTCCGAAAACACACAAGACGAGAGCAATACTTTCTTACAGTATATTCCAAAGAGAGTAAATTAATAAGACGAACACAGAAGTTGCAATATGTTTAACATTAGTATACATCTGAATTATATATGCATTTTATTTTCATTCTGGAAACTATACTCAAATTGATATACTTTTAACGATGAATTCTCTGGAGTTTAAGTTCTTCATATATAATATTATTTTTGATAAAATCGTAAGCAAGATTTTGTTACACTGGCATCATAAAGGCAGCTTATCGCATATATTTAAATTAATGACATATAAGGAAAATAAATTCACATTTGTAGTAACGACTTTAACGTTTAATTTGCATAATTCTTTGGGATAAGTATATTTACCAGTTACGTCATATACATCAAGATTATTAAATTATTCATGAACATTTACCAATTACATCACATACGCTAGGATTATTAAAGTATTCAGGAACATTTCGCGAGTATATACTGAGAGAGGTATGTATATAATTTTATATAAACTTTGAGTTCACGGTTACCATATTTTATGGATTGAATTATTATCGATATATAAGTGACTTGTAGTTTGAATTACCCACTTGTATATGGAATTATAACAGAAGACAGGTAATAATAAAAAGATTAAAAAAACAGAAGAACCTTTGTTTATAGACACACACGAGATTTCCTTTTTCGTTGAATCTTTTGATCAAGACGACTTGTACTGTGAATGCTACCATTAAAACTAACATAATTAAACATAAGATCTCTTATATTCCAAGTAACTCCTATATTTGATGATACTTACCCTGACGAGGTTGGTTTGTGGCTCAGGTGGAGGCGCGGGCATGGGTGGAGGCGTGGAAGGCACTGACTGTGGCGTGGTGGGTGTGGAGGGCGTGCCTTGGTCCCACTGACCTGACCAGCGTCCTGGGCGTCTCCAGCCGTCGCCCTGCCACTCACAGTCTGCGGCCAAGATGCCAGGGCTGGATGACTCTGACGACTCCCTTCTCGCCTGGGCCTTGGGCGGTCTGTGGGGTTTAGCCGGGTCATTAGTGGGTATTCTGCAGTGTTGCTGGTGCGTGGGGTGTTACCCCGTTGTGCTGTACAGTATTGGTGTATACAGGTGTCAATGTATAACAGAAGTATATATGTATATGTGTATTCAAAATACAAACGAACCCACACTGAGCAAATAAAAACAATATTTCGACCTGCCACTGCGACCCTTTTCATCTGACTCAGTGGTTGCTTCGATCTATATGCAGAACTTATTTACTATCTTAGTTTCCGTGTTGGTTCCTTTGGGCAAGTGACAAGTGTCTTTTTAACGCTTGTGTTTGGTTGTGCATACATGCTGTATGCATTGTGTATAAATGCAAGTCTGTAACACATCTGAATGTGTATACATATACGTATAGTGTATACAGCATTAATCCTTGTATATAACAATATATATATATATATATATATATATATATATATATATATATATAATATATATATATATATATATATATATATATGTCGTGCCGAATAGGCAGAACTTGCGATCTTGGCTTAAATAGCAACGCTCATCTTGCCATAAAGGACAAGTGAAAATTTGTGTATGCAATAATTTCGCCAAAATCATTCTGAACCTAACGAAAAAAATATGTTTCATTGTGTTTGTTTAGTATTAAATTACTGTAAAAGTATTTAAAATATATTTAGTAGGATTAGGCTAAAATAAATTGTTCTTGTTATAATAAGGTTAGGTAAGTTTTCTAAGATTCTTTTAGTGCAAAATTAAAAATTTTTACATTAACATTAATGAAAAAAATATATCTTTAAACGTATAAGAGAAGTATTTAGAAAGGACTTAATTTTAAATGAGTTCTTGCTAATTGACCAGTTTTACATATTCGGCACGACATATATATATATAATATATATATATATATATATATATATATATATATATATATATATATATATATATATATATATATATATATACATACAATAAGATCACAGTAAATAGGTGATATCACAATATACAGAACAACCACTGTGGAAAAAATAGTGAAATTCTAAGCACTTTCATGATTTCTCAAATCGTCAAGGAACTTTTTTTACAGTTCCTTGATGTGAAAAATCACGAAAGTGCTTGGAATTTCACTTGTTTTCACAGTTAGTGTTCTGCATATATATTTGTCGTGTCTAATAAGCCGAATCGGCGAGTTTGACCTAGAATGCAAGGGCATTATCTGCCAGGTAAGTAGAGTGAATATTTATTTATACAAGAAAAATCTGGGAAGATCAGCCTGAAATTAAGAAAAATATATATTGCTGGTTTTAATTAGTATTAAATAAATTTATACTGATCTACTATATGTTTAGTAGAAGTAGGATAAAATAAAAATAAATTACGATAGGTCTCTGAAGTTAGGTTAGGTTAGGTGAGGTCTCTGAAGTTAGGTTAGGTTAGGTGAGGTCTCTGAAGTTAGGTTAGGTTAGGTGAGGTCTCTGAAGTTAGGTTAGGTTAGGTGAGGTCTCTGAAGTTAGGTTAGTTTAGGTAAGATCTCTGAAGTTAGGTTAGGTTAGGTAAGATCTCTGAAGTTAGCTTAGGTAAGGTGAGGTCTCTGAAGTTAGCTTAGGATAGGTAAGATCTCTGAAGTTAGCTTAAGTTAGGTGAGGTCTCTGAAGTTAGGTTAGGTTAGGTGAGGTCTCTGAAGTTAGGTTAGTTTAGGTGAGGTCTCTGAAGTTAGCTTAGGTTAGGTGAGGTCTCTGAAGTTAGGTTAGGTTAGGTGAGGTCTGTGAAGTTAGGTTAGGTTAGGTGAGGTCTCTGAAGTTAGCTTAGGTTAGGTAAGATGTCTGAAGTTAGCTTAGGTTAGGTGAGGTCTCTGAAGTTAGGTTAGGTTAGGTGAGGTCTCTGAAGTTAGGTTAGTTTAGGTGAGGTCTCTGAAGTTAGCTTAGGTTAGGTGAGGTCTCTGAAGTTAGGTTAGGTTAGGTGAGGTCTCTGAAGTTAGGTTAGGTTAGGTGAGGTCTCTGAAGTTAGGTTAGGTTAGGTGAGGTCTCTGAAGTTAGGTTAGGTTAGGTGAGGTCTCTGAAGTTAGCTTAGGTTAGGTAAGATCTCTGAAGTTAGCTTAGGTTAGGTGAGGTCTCTGAAGTTAGGTTAGGTTAGGTGAGGTCTCTGAAGTTAGGTTAGTTTAGGTGAGGTCTCTGAAGTTAGCTTAGGTTAGGTGAGGTCTCTGAAGTTAGGTTAGGTTAGGTGAGGTCTCTGAAGTTAGGTTAGGTTAGGTGAGGTCTCTGAAGTTAGGTTAGGTAGGTGAGGTCTCTGAAGTTAGGTTAGGTTAGGTGAGGTCTCTGAAGTTAGGTTAGGTTAGGTGAGGTCTCTGAAGTTAGGGTTAGGTTTAGGTGAGGTCTCTGAGTTTAGTTAGGTTAGGTTAGGTGAGGTCTCTGAAGTTAGGTTAGGTTAGGTGAGGTCTCTGAAGTTAGGTTAGGTTAGGTGAGGTCTCTGAAGTTAGGTTAGGTTAGGTGAGGTCTCTGAAGTTAGGTTTGTTGCAAAACTAAAACATTTTATACTATTTTGAATGAAAAATATATCAATTAATCCATAAAAGAAAATTTTTGTACTGCTAGGCCTAATTGACGAATTCGGCTTATTAGGCATGAGAGAGGCATATTAAAACACACGCACACCCAGACACACACACACTGAGAGAGGGAGGAAAGGCGCTATGTGTACCACTAACAACAATCTTCAACACATCTATTGAAACAGGGAGACTACCTTAGGTATGGAAGACGGGAAATGTAGTCCCAATTTAAAAAAAAAAGGAGACAGACACGAAGCATTAAACTACAGAACAGTGTCCCTGACATGTATAGTACGCAAAGTTATGGAGAAGATTATCAGCCAGCACAGTTTCAGGGACGGATAATCCTTTGTCACAAACCTGTTGGAATTCTATGAAAGGGTGGCAGCAGTACGACAAGAGAGAGAGGGGTGGGTAGATTGCAATTTCTTGGACTGTAAGAAGGCTTTTAACACAGTTCCACACAAGAGATTAGTGCAAAAGCTTGAGGACCAGCCAGAGATAACAGGGAAGGCACTGCAATGGATCAGGGAATACCTATCACAAGACAGCAGCGAATCATGGTACGTGACGAGGTGTCAGAGTGGGCGCCTGTGACGAGCGTGGTTCCATAGGGGTCAGTCCTACGACCGGTGCTGTATATGGTATTTGTGAACGACATGACGGAAGGAATGGACTCAGAAGTGTCCTTGTTTGCAGATGATGTGAAGTTGATGAGAAGAATTCAATCGGACAAGGACCAGGCAGAACTACAAAGGGATCTGGACAGGCTGCAGGCCTGGTCCAGCAACTGGCTCCTGGAGTTCAACCCCACCAAGTGCAATGTCATGAAGATTGGGGAAGGGCAAAGAAGACCGCAGACGGAGTACAGTTTAGGGGGCCAGAGACTACAAACTCACTCAAGGAAAAGGATCTTGTGGTGAGTATAACACCAGGCACATCTCCTGAGGCGCATATCAACCAAAGAACTGTTGCAGCATACGGGCACCTAGTCAGCCTAAGAACAACATTCCGACATATTAATAAGGAATCGTTCAGGACACTGTACACCGTGTACGTTAGGCCTATATTGGAGTATGCAGCAACAGTTTGGAACTCACACATAGCCAAGCACGTAAGGAAACTAGAGAAAGTGAAAAGATTTGCAACAAGACTAGTCCCGGAGCTAAGGGACATGTTCGAGGAGGAGAGGTTAAAGGAAATCGACCTGACGACACTGGAGGATAGGAGAGATGTGGGGGATATGATAACGACATATAAAATACTGAGGAATCGACAAGGTGGACAGAGACAGGATGTTCCAGAGATGGGACACAGCAACAACTGTGACTAGTTGGAAGTTGAAGATGAATCACAGGGATATTACGAAGTATTTCTTCAGTCACAAAGTTGTCAGGAAGTGGAATAATCTGGGAAGTGATGTAGTGGAAGCAGGATCCATACAGAACTTCAAGAAGAGGTATGATAAAGCTCGTGGAGCAGGAAGAGTAACCTAGTAGCGACCAGTGAAGAGGCGGGGCCAGGAGTTGTGAATCGTCCCCTGCAACCACAAGCTAGGTGAGTACAACTGGAGGAGTACACACACACACACACACACACACACACACACACACACACACACACACACACACACACACACACACACACACACACACACACACACACACACACACACACACACACACGCACACACGCACGCACGCACACACACACGCACACGCACACACGCACACACGCACACGCACGCACGCACGCACACGCACGCACGCACGCACGCATTTTGAAAAGGTTTTTATGGAAAACTCTTTTACGTCATTTTATTAATAATAATAATGCCCCTTTGGGAATGAACGTAGATGTATGAGCACTGATTTTTTTTAATCATTAAAGTTCATAATTTATCTTTGAGTTATATTTAGTACTGGTTTTAAGATAATTGTTAAAGTTAAAGTCAAGGGTAAAGCACAGCCAGAGGTGAACAATGAATGTCACTTGGCCGACTCATAAGATACACGTGATAGACTTCAGTGGAGAAGCCTATCATGCGACACTTCTGAATGACCAGTCATGGTGAAGGTAATCATACGGCCTCTCTGAGTGACCAGTCATAGTGAAATTAATCATACGGCCTCTCTGAATGACCAGTCATAGTGAAGGTAATCATACAGCCTCTCTGAATGACCAGTCATAGTGAAGGTAATCATACAGCCTCTCTGAATGACCAGTCATAGTGAAGGTAATCATACAGCCTCTCTGTTTGACCAGTCATAGTGAAAGTAATCATACGGCCTCTCTGAATGACCAGTCCAGGAGAAGACAAGCCTATGACCTCACCGATCAATTATAGTGAATTTAATGTTACTGTTTCTCAGATTGCTAGAACTTCCAAATGACTGTTAATTTCAACAAACAAAAACAACAGAACAGGTTATGCCAAATTTTGGGTTAGAAGGAGGAAATAAGATTTAAATTAGTGATAGTAGATAAGTATATATACATAATATATGTATATGTAGATATAAACTTATTAAGTGTATATATACATACACTATGTATATTACCTCAGGGGCGAGGGAGCCGGGAAGTGTCTAATTGACATATCGACGTTCTGGTGACAAGATGTCGCTGTGGAGGAAGGAACGTGGTGGTTGGAATCCGTAACGTCGACAGATATGACGACAAAGACACAATTATGCTGACCAAGTCTTTATTAGGGCAACGTTTCGCTCTCCTTAGAGCGAAAGGTTATCCTACTTATGTCTTCTTTTCCCACATGAAGTCAATGTGGTGAAGATTTTCATTCAGGTTTACAGGAATAACTTTGAGGGCTTCACAGAGGCTATACGGTACGCATGGTTGACTCTCCGGACCAGCAGCTACACGTAGCACAGCATTCTCTGGACCAGGAGCCACACGAAACACCGCGTGGGTCCCTGGTCCAGGCGCTACACGAAACACAAGTGTTCTCTGGACCGTGTAGATCCCTGGACCAGGCGCTCTACGTAGCACTGTGTTCTCTGGACCAGGAGCTATACGTAGCACCGTGTCCTCTGGACCATAAGCCACACGAAACATGTGGGTTCCTGGACCAGGAGCCACCATGAAATACCATGTGGGTCTGGACCAGGAGCCACACGTAACATGTCTGGACCTGGACCTACAAGCGACACCCCAGGACACTCACGCCGCTGAACTCAACAGGAAAAGTAAAAACCGGGAACAGTACACAAGGAATAATATTTTGGAAAGAAACAACATGGAGAACGGCAGTAAAGGGAACAAGATGCGAGCAACGAGATGCGAGGGAGCAGTACACAGGGAACAAAATGCAGGGGATGGTACTAGGTAAACATAACCAATTCGGATAAAAACCAATGGAGAATTTAAACTCATGGGTGATGGGGTGGTGATGGGTCTACACCCATGCAGAGTTTAACTAACACTTTATATTTACGTTGTCAATTTCTTTAAATAGCTCTTCAGTTTCTTCTTCGAAGGCATGTCTTCCTCTGGAAGCAGTGGAGGCGAGTTAAGATGGGAGTTGTGGTGGTGAGTGTAGGGAGAGTGTTGTTGTGAGGCGTAAGGAAATTGTTGTGAGGTGTAGGGAGAGAGTGTTGTTGTTAAGATGTTGCTGCACTCTCCTGTGATATAGTCTTCGGTGTGTTGTGCTGGCATATGTAGGGAGAGAGAGTGTTGTGATGTGTAGTGAGAAAGTGTTGTGAGATGTTGCAGCAGGTTTCTGTGGTGTAGTCTTCAGTGTGTTGTGGTGGCAGGTGTAGGGAGAGTTGTGATGTGTAGGGGAGAGTGTTTGAGATGTTACTGAGATGTTTTGTGGTGTAGCTTTAAGCGTGTTATAATATTGGGAAGTGTAGGAAGAGTGCTGTTGGTAGAGAGTGTTGTTGTGAGGAGTTGCTGCAGTCTTCTATGGTGTAGCTTTCAGCATATTGTTTAGTTATTAAATTTGTTGTTGACGGCTTGAGGCTCTTAAAAGAAAAATGTTTTAAGCAAATTGATATATGCATAATTAACAAAAAGCGACAATACCGTGACTGCAACAATACACAAATAACCCGCACGTAGTATAGAGGAGCTTACGACGACGTTTCGGTCCGACTTGGACTAGTTACAAAGTCACAGTGGACTTTGTAAATGGTCCAAGTCAGACCGAAACGTCGTGGTAAACTCTTCTCTCCTATGTGTGGGTTATTTGTGTGTATATGCATAATAATATAAAGAAAATATTATTGATAATCTTGAGACGTGGGACTTCCTCTAAGAGCTCCCGAGCGATGAATGCTTGAAAACTGTTGAATGGCGCTAATTTGGCTAAAGAAACGGGAGTTATAACCCTATTTCCTTGGTAAGGAATCAGAAATAACGTTTTAGAGTATGAAAAAAAATGTTTAGTTAGCCTGCAGGTTAGTAAGTGTGAGGTTGATATGATCTCCGACTTGACAAGTGGCACCAGCATGGCCATCTGCCATCTCAACAACACCAACCACAATATTTTGGGATTTGATAGTGAGAGTCTCGCCTAAACTCGTCCTCACGCCCACCACACACCCACTTTACGCCCACCTCATGGCCACATCAGTTCAAAGACAGACACCTGTTTATCTCACAATATTTAACTTGCTAGAAAAAAAATATCTGCATGCTGTTATGGTGCTGCACTTTGTAAAACTGTATCTCCCTACACGCTGTTATGGTTCTGCACTTTGTAAAACTGTATCTCCCTACACGCTGTTATGGTGTTGCACTTTGTAAAACTGTATCTCCCTGCACGCTGTTATGGTGCTGCACTTTGTAAAACTGTATCTCCCTACACGCTGTTATGGTGCTGCACTTTGTAAAACTGTATCTCCGTACAAGCTGTTATGGTCTGCACTTGTAAAACTGTATCTCCCACACGCTGTTGTGGTGCTGCACTTTGTAAAACTGTATCTCCCTACACGCTGTTATGGTGCTGCACTTTGTAAAACTGTATCTCCCTACACGCTGTTATGGTGCTGCACTTTGTAAAACTGTATCTCCCTACACGCTGTTATGGTGCTGCACTTTGTAAAACTGTATCTCCCTACACGCTGTTATGGTGCTGCACTTTGTAAAACTGTATCTCCCTACACGCTGTTATGGTGCTGCACTTTGTAAAACTGTATCTCCCTACACGCTGTTATGGTGCTGCACTTTGTAAAACTGTATCTCCCTACACGTTGTTATGGTGCTGCACGTTATTATGGTTCTGCACGCTACAGCTCTCTACGCGATGTTTATCACGTGTATTCTTGTTTTGAAAATATCAGTCCGTCACCCAATGCATAAATTATCCATAAGTGCCTAAGAAATTATTTTCAAGGCCACAAACAAAATCTGCGAACACTCGAAAATATTATTTAAAAAAATTAGAAAAAAAGGACGTACCTAAAAGTTGTACACATATATTGATCAGATCTTATTTAGGAGTGTGGAGCGAGGGGGGGGTCAGGGTGCAGCTCCTGGTCCCCTCTAACTCTTGGGCCACCCACTACAATCTGCCCACATTTTAATAAGTTAATTTTAGCGTTTCCAGTTATATGTGCAATTTGGCTTGCCTCAACAACTGGTTTGGTGCAAACAGTTCTTGTTATAAAAATAGCACCACAGTTCACCAAAATCTCGCACTTTGGAGAGGAGCCTCACGACGAAGCCTCGGAGCCTCCTGGAGCTCCTTTGCTTAGTGCGGATGTTTGGTGAATTGTTTTAGTCACGGTATTGTGACTTTTAATTCTTTATAGTCCTTATTTGATTAAAACACATTTTTCGGAGCCCAATCCAACATGCACATACTTATTAAAGCTGTCTCCCTGCACACCAGACTGCCTCTGATAATGTTTACGCTCCGCTGAGGTCGGTTAGTGGCGGAGATCAAACTTGGCTTATCTAGCCATCGTGAAAGATCAAGTGTTTCTACCTGTCTTAATGTCTCCTGCGGTAAAGATTGAGATCTCAAAGGTTTCAAGAGAGTTGACGCTCTATAACTCCAACGGGTTTAGTGCTTGCCCACGAATACAATTAGTAATAAAGAGAGCGATCGCGTTCTCCTTCTCACGAGAAGTGGAACCATTCATTTTTCGATATTTTTTTTTTTTGTTCGAGTAATATTTATTTCTCGGGTTGTTTATTATGAAGTATTCTCAGCAAATTTTTAAATGTAAACTAAATAAAAATGAAGATATAATAATAATCATACGGTAATAATAATCTTAAGCATAATAAAATTCAATACTTTTAATGATAATGATGTTTTAATGTTTATAAAAGATAAACTGCAGGTTTATTATTGATATAAATTAAAAATAATGTTAATAATAATTATTATATGCTAATATTAATATAATAATAACAGTATGATAATAATAATAATTATTATAAATTATAATAACTTTAATAAAAAATAATAAACTTTAGAAGTAAAATCGTAAGTTTTATTATAAAAAATGAGAGATGAGTAAGTGAACCATGTCGAGCGATATCCGAAGAGTTAATGTTGGTCCAGACTTAGCCTAGTTTGCCAGTAACGTCTACCAGAGTATACTTGACAAATATAACCTCATCAGTCCAAAAAAAATGTCAATAATCATTAAATACTATAAACTATCTAATGTCAGCAATACATAATACTGTTATCCATGCTAATAATAGCACTGTAATCACTGTTACTGCTGCTGCTATGACTCTCTGCTAAAACTACTATAAACAGCATTTACAATAGTTGTAGCTATAAAAATATTAGTTACTTGTAGTGAAAATACCGTTCAACCTAGTTGAATGGCTATACCCTTGCTTATGGTCACAGGCGTCTGCGGATCACTTTTCAAATGAATGTCTCAGTAAAATGATACGGTGAAACTACTCCGTAACTGAATTAAACATAACTGAATTAAGTAATTGATAATATTCATGTATGAGCCTGTAGGTCACCTACCTCTCCAAATATATCAAATCAGTTGACATGACCATTTTTCCTGTTTTAAGAGACACATCACCACCCATCTCTCAGAGTGAAGGTACATCATTTCTCACCTCCTCCAGATCTCATGTCCAGATATCAAATTTTCAAGAATTCCTTCATGCATGCTGCTGTACCTTCCTTACAACCCAAAAGCAAGTCATATCTACCCCGAAAAACTAGTTGTCTCCACTCCCAAGTATTATGCTATGCTCACACATACCTCTTGGATCATCAACTCTACCACTCAAATCCTGTGTCACTCCCTCCAGCCCTTCCGGGAACGTCCGCTACCTTCCATTCACAATGTTTATGCACCTTTTTTTCGTCTAACTTGCTTCATCTTTACACAATGTGGGATTACTTTCCCTTACCTTTGAGCAAACTAGATTTCCACCATTCCCTGCGTTCTGTGCTTCACCATTTATATAACAGTAAGAACAATACCAACAACAGCGATAGTAATAATAATAATAATTCAAGAAATGATGTGTCCACCTTGGGTAAATATGCTTACTATATTACATAAAGTTTTGCATTAAGGTGAGTTTTAGTGTTTATTTAAAAAACTTTATTTTCATAGAAAATGAGACGACTAACTTGTAAAGGGTCTAGACTTGTGTTATCTGTGGCACACTTCACGACACTCATTCGGGAAGTGCCACAAATTCCTTTCCTCTCTGTTCGGATACTACTGTACACAATCATTCCAAGAAGTTGGGGGGGGGGTGCCTTGGTGCTGGTGAAGGGTTCTTAATCCTAGGAATTAGAGGTATCCTCCCCTTTTTCGGATCAAACTTGAGTGCCTCATATTACCCAGGCACTGTTTATGTTTTACTGCCATAACACTTCCATACACATACATGATTCTTCACATATCTCTTCTTCAGTAGCTCACTCTCCTTCAGTAGTTCGGTGTTCTTCATTAGTTCGCTGTTATTTCGTTATCATTGCACAGAGTCCAGTTTTTTTATGGCTTAACTGTCACTTTTTTTTAACTATAATTGGTATCTTACCAGTTTCCAGCAGACATGTCGTCGCAAGGCTGGGTCCAACAGACATGTCTTCCAGACGCTGGGTCCAGTAGACATGTCCTCCAGATGCTGGGTCCACCAGACATGTCCTCCTGACACTGGGTCCAGAAGACATGTCCTCCAGACGCTGGGTCCAACAGACATGTCCTCCTGACGCTGGGTCCAGCAGACAAGTCCTCCTGACGCTGGGTCCAGCAGACATGTCCTCCAGACGTTGGGTCCAGCAGACTTGTCCTCCTGACGCTGGGTCCAAAAGACATGTCCTCCTGACGCTGGGTCCAGCAGATATGTCCTCCTGACTCTGGGTCCAGAAGACATGTCCTCCAGACGCTGGGTCCAGCAGACAAGTCCTCCTGACGCTGAGTCCAGCAGACATGTCCTCCTGACGCTGGGTCCAGCAGACATGTCCTCCTGACGCTGGGTCCAGCAAACATGTCCTCCTGACGCTGGGTCCAGCAGACATGTCCTCCTGATCTGGGTCCAGCAG